AGCTTCCTACCACCCTAGGTCCCCGCTAGCTCCACGCTAGCTCCATGCTAGCTCCACGCTAGCTCCACGCTAGCTCCACGCTAGCTCCACGCTAGCTCCACGCTAGCTTCCTACCACCCTAGGTCCCCGCTAGCTCCACGCTAGCTCCACGCTAGCTTCCTACCACCCTAGGTCCCCGCTAGCTCCACGCTAGCTCCATGCTAGCTCCACGCTAGCTCCACGCTAGCTTCCTATCACCCTAGGTCCCCGCTAGCTCCACGCTAGCTCCACGCTAGCTCCACGCTAGCTTCCTACCACCCTAGGTCCCCGCTAGCTCCACGCTAGCTCCACGCTAGCTCCACGCTAGCTCCACGCTAGCTTCCTGCCACCCTAGGTCCCCGCTAGCTCCACGCTAGCTCCACGCTAGCTCCACGCTAGCTTCCTACCACCCTAGGTCCCCGCTAGCTCCATGCTAGTTCCACGCTAGCTCCACGCTAGCTCCACGCTAGCTTCCTACCACCCTAGGTCCCCGCTAGCTCCACGCTAGCTCCACGCTAGCTCCACGCTAGCTTCTTACCACCCTAGGTCCCCGCTAGCTCCACGCTAGCTCCACGCTAGCTGCACGCTAGCTTCCTACCACCCTAGGTCCCCGCTAGCTCCACGCTAGCTCCACGCTAGCTTCCTGCCACCCTAGGTCCCCGCTAGCTCCACGCTAGCTCCACGCTAGCTTCCTACCACCCTAGGTCCCCGCTAACTCCATGCTAGCTCCACACTAGCTCCACGCTAGCTCCACGCTAGCTCCACGCTAGCTTCCTACCACCCTAGCTCCACGCTAGCTCCACGCTAGCTCCACGCTAGCTTCCTGCCACCCTAGGTCCCCGCTAGCTCCACGCTAGCTCCACGCTAGCTCGTCTCTTGTTGCAAAGAGACTCTTGAGATGTAAAGGTGCAGTCCTGCAATTGCCTACCCACGCCACTGCTGGTGGAAGGGCCTCCAGAAGGTATTTGGCCTACTCTTCCACAATGGCCAGACATCTTCGAAGAGGCGGGAATATCAACTAACGGGTGAACTCATTTACACCGCTGGGTGGACAGAGGCGGGTGGGTTGAGAAACTTGATAAAAAATATACCGTCTGATCTAACGTCAATTCTCTATGCATGTGTAATGAGCGACTTCCGAGACACAACGTGTAGAGGGCACAACACTGGGCAATATTAAGAAACGCATCTACATAGGTACACACAGCTGACATTTCTACACAGCCCCATCGTCGGCGTCTAACTACGTAGCTGGCTGACTAATGTAGTGATGACGACGATGGGAGCAGCGACGCAGCCGGGACCCCGCGACAGCCCCGAACCTTCGTTACATCCCCCCTATACACTTCCTGGCGTGGCCAGGCCACGCCCCCTTTTAGAACCTTCGAGCAGGTTCTCGGAGCTTCTCGACTGACCCCGCCTTTTACCTTTAACCCAGACACGCCCCCCTTCTAGTGGTTATTGTATAACGCGCCCATACCCGTGATTACCCTTCCTGGCCGACAGGTGGCACCCTGTCACGACACGTGTATGATTCGCCCCCTAGAGCCAGAATGAACTGTCAGAATTTGGAGTGAAACGTCGATTCCAGAATTGATTCTTTTTTTTGCCTTCGCGGTGAACGTGTGGCCTCTAGTGGCCGGAGGGTTTGCGTGAACCAATGACACGTGCGGCCCTGTTGTCCGTCTACTGCTGGACAGGGTCCTGGGGTGAAAAGGTGGCGAGCGGTAAGCAAGGGAGCATAGGGGTGTAGTACAACAATGGATGTTTCTGCACTGCCCTCTGCTGCTGCCCTCGCAGCGCCGCGGCCGAGTCACGCACAGCGGCCTCGCCTTCCAAGAAGCACTGTCCAGGCCCCGACCCACTTAGCTTAAGAGATGTGATGAGATTGGTCTTATTTTGGGTATGATTGCTAACAGTTAAACCAACATTCGCGAATGTTGCGTTTAACTGTTATGTGATACACGTACGACGGGCGTGAGGTTGAACGCTAAGTGATGAATCTGTCTTGCTGTGTACGCCCACTCTTCTGCACCTCGCTGTGCTTGCTTCACAATAATTGGTGCTTCAATATAGTTTATGTATTGAGATTTTTAGAGTTACATGTTGACAGTCTATAAACACAAGACGCATATATATCTGATATTTCTGTGGGATTATTAACCGGGTAAAAAATATGGTTGAGAAAAATATATTATTGTGGTAAATAGTGACACAAACAGGAAGCTGGCTATAAAAAAAATAGCATTGACTGGGTTGAAAGAGCAAATTATGTGTGGCGTTGGGAATGTGATGGTGTTGAGAACGTAATGGTGTTGGGAACGTGATGGTTTGGGAACGTGGTGGTTTAGGAACATGGTGGTTTGCGAATGTGGTGGTTTGGGAACGTGATGGTGTTGGGAATGTGGTGGATTGGGAATGTGGTGGTTTGGGAATGTGGTGGTTTGGGAACTTGATGGTTTGGGAATGTGGTGGTTTGGGAATGTGGTGGTTTGGGAATGTGGTGGTTTGGGAACTTGATGGTTTGGGAATGTGGTGGTTTTCAATAAAAAAATATCCGTTCAATGATTGCGTTAAGGCCTGCGCTGGATGTTGCAGCGAGAGCTTGCAGGTCGTAAAACTTGAGTAACCTTCTGCTGCTTGAACCGTATCACAACTGCACAACCTGAGCGGCCTGCTGAAAAATGAGGCTTTAAACTAATAACATTACCAAAACAACCAGCTGCTCAAATGTTGGCCAAACTGTCTCCAAAAAACCATGTGGCTGTAAGTTATCATGCAATTAGACACATTGTAAGTTGTGCAACTGTTTTCATAGCTATTAGCTGCAACAAGCGTTTGGGATGGATGAAATGGTGCCAGCCACATACGGAAGCAGCACAGAGCAGTGGAGCACCCCGACCACCAGCCCCCCCATCAGGCCCCTGCAGGCAACGCTCGTCTCGCATCAGATGTTGCATATATACACACACTTTAGTTTGTTTTTATTTATTATTCTGCTTATTTACCCAATAAAGCCTCACTGAGTCTCAAGACTCTTTTTCAGGAGGGTCCTGCCAAGTGTTTTCAGTGGCAGTGGTGATGCTGCTGCTGTGTGTAACCCAAATTAAGTAGTTTGAGATGCTTGCTCAATACAAGTGACATCGTACATTCCTCTATGGGAGGAATCCGAGGACACCCATGCAGAACAGGGGGAGAGAACGTACAAACTCTACGCAGAAAGGCATCCGAGTCGGGAATCGAACCCAGGCGCTCCTTGCTGCGAGGCACGAGTGTGTAACCACTATGCCTCCCTGCCACCTGTGCGGTGTGACTGCCCGTGCGTGCCGTGGCGATCTAAGCTCTGCCCTGCTGCACAACCCAGATTGAGTCATCCTGCAGGCAGCCATCTCCAGACAAAGCCAAGCAGCCAGCAGTTTGGCTGCACGCCTGCGCAGTGCTTCATGGGCAGAGCACGCGAACTCGGTGTAATCGTGTCTCTCCTTTTTCTTATTTCTTCACACGCTGCTTCCCGCAGTATCCCCACTTTCTCCCTAATGACTCTGGGAGATTACACACGGGGAGGATGTTTTTGCCGTGCAGAAGATAAACAATGGCTTTTCATGCGCACCTCCCCACCGTGTATCTCTCTCTCTCCTCATATTTATTTATCCGTTTGCATTTGTATCTTCCGTGACTGTGGGCACATTCTATCTGGTGCCTACTCACGCTGTTGCAAGTGTTATCAATGGCTGTGTCTACTGTAATGGCATTTATTATGAAAACAGAATGTTGTTCATTTTATGAACATATTTATATTTGATGAAAACTGTGAATATTCAATATGTCTTGTGCTTTCAAATCCCGTTATGTCAAATTCCCCGACTGAAGTTGTGCGAAGTTACATTTTATTTGGGATAATTCATTGTTATCTTTACTTTTGAATAGAATGTCTTGCTTCACATCAAAATGTGATGCGTGGTATTGCTTTGGAATGTTGGTCCACACATTGGCCTGAGAACCAAAAGAGGCACCTTGGCTGCCTTTCTCTGCGTGCTGCAGCGCTAGTCGAGTCTGGGTAATTCACTGACAATATAATGATGATTTGTGTCAGCGTCGCGCGTCTCATTTTCCCCTCGTTGCACTAAAACTGTAATTAAGTGACTTTGTTCCTCGAGGTGTGCGGGTGACTCAGGGGTCAGGACACTGAGCCATCACCACCGAGCGCCTTGGCTCCAGATCTGGGTTTCAGCCGGTGATGACACCAGGTTCTCTCGTGTAGCGAGTTCATGGTCTCAGCCTGGCGCATCAATGACACCTTTACAAAATTTATTACAATTGGCTTTTCATTTAATTTGGAAAAGTTACAGATCTGAGAATTAAACATTTGGGTTTAAATGCCATACGGGTTTTGTGGGAAGTGTACCCTCTGGTGTTTGATGAGAGTTCTCTTTAAGGGATCTCAGAAGTAGTTCTGGGATATCTATCACCTTTCGTTCTCTAACACGGGGTGATGCACTGCTTGGCGAGTGTTCAGAATGGAAACGTCTCGTGACGTGATGCAGATTCTACATTTTATAACTAGACTGATGTTTTTCTCGAGTGACTTGTAACCCAAAGGATGGCCCAGCTTTAGCCCTTCCACTGCTCGTTGTATGTTGTCGAGGATCATGGTTTGAATCGGGCTGGCCACCCTGGTTATTACTGCAGGTATACGAACCATAAATACGCACCGTCTACTTCGCGGTGGATGTTAAAGATCATTTTAAATTAGTAGGCGTATAGCAACGATCGCCCTCTACTGGCATACCAATGTCCACTTGGAGACCTTGTGTCAGCACGGGGACAGCTGTTACGGCCGGGGCAGGTGGGCGGTGCCATTTGAACGCGTGAGATAGTTTGCGGTGCGCGTGTTTAACGATCTGCTCAAGTGGCGCCGTACGAGCGCGACCCTCGTAGCTCTTCCGTTGACCGGGCGCGACGGTGCCCACTGTACGGCGCAGGCGAGCACGCGAGCACCTGGTACCTGGACCTGAAGAACGGCGCCGGAGCCGCGGGCCACGGGCCGGCCCCCGACAAGGCCGACGTCGTCATGAGCCTGGACAGCGGCGACTTCGTCAGCATGTTCGCAGGTACCGCACGGCGGACCCACAGCACACGTAAAGGCGCAGCCCCGTCACGTCCGGCGGAAGGGCCTCCGCTAGAGGAAGCTCGAGTACACCCCTCTTGGGAGTGTTTGGCCTACTCCTCCACACTGCTGTTAATAACAGTACAACCATTTGCAACGTGCGCAAATTTCACAAAGCGGGCGAATCGTTGTTCGGTCGCGAACTCGGAGGCGTCTGGGAAGAGGTGGGTGTACCCACGCTGTACTCCGCCGCGATACCTTCCCACATACATTGCTCGGTCGACAGAGGCAGCGGGGGGGTGGGGGAGATTTCAGAAACTTTCTTCACCGTTGATTCAACTGCCGCGCCAGGAGATCAGACCGAACCGGCGACCTCTGTGTTTGGAGGCCGGTGCGATGCCCATTGCACTGCGGGCAGCATCACGTTAGACGTGGCTTGTGCTCACGCATTCAAAAATGGAAACCATTCGAGCAGAACGAAGTGAAGAGTAATATCTTAACGGCCTAATGAGTGTAATTGTGTTTGGCGTGCGAGCTTGCGTTGACCGCCAGGCTCCGATTCGGCGGTGCGCAGCGTTGAACGTGCGCCTGCGCCGGGTCGTGTCGTCCGGATGGTGCGGTAGCTGCTTAGTTGAATTTAAAACAATTGGCTTCTTCAACGAGCGTAACGTTAGCTTTCCATTTTCCGCTCGATGTGTTTTGGTGGCTGGCCAGTGCCTGCCTGCTTCACGTTGATCGTAACGAGAGTGGTAAAATCCGTTTTAGGAAGTGTTGCACTGACAATGTTGCGACGACAGAGGTGGTTTTATGTAACTGCTAAATTCCTAATTTGCAGGCCATATTCAATGATAGTAATTAGATTATATTCTTTGGTTGTTTCCCTTCTACGTGACTTTACCGAAAGAACAAATCACGACGTTTCGACCGCTTGTGTTGCGATTGAAACGTCGCAATTTTTTTTATATTATTTCTAACTACGTGATGACTTTACCGAAAGAACCAAAGAATATGGATTCCTGCAGTCACGAAAGCTTCAAAGCAAGATAGATTATATATAGCAAGGTCAATTAAATGAAATGCTTAATTCACATAAGAGTGAAGGCATATATTTGGATGATTCGGTAAGGTCATAATTATTGATATTATTCACTCGGCATATATTTGATAGTTCCTTCATGTGACTTATAACACTTTTAATCTTAAATATCTTTTTCCACACAGGCATAACAACTACTTTACAACATTTGATAGTTTTGTACGCTTTGTAGATGATTTGATTATTGTTCGGGATGAGTAATCCAGAGGGACCCCGGTTCGATTCCCTCTCCTGGTGCGGCAGTCAAAACAACGGTGCAGTTTCGATTTAAAGCTTTCGTGACTGCAGGGATTCATCTTCTTGGTTCTTTCGGTAAAGTCACCACGTAGAATTTAAATAAAATAATACCAATAAAACATAATAAAAAATATTTTTATTTTATTATGTTTTATTTAGAATTTAAATAAAATAATACCAATAAAACATAATAAAAAATATTTTTATTTTATTATGTTTTATTTGTATTATTTTATTTCAATTCTACGTGACTTTACCGAAAGAACCAAGAAGATGAATCCCTGCAGTCACGATTGCTGGCAGAAAGGTCTCCACTACGGAGGGCTCTAAAGAGCTCCTCTTGGGGGATTTAAGAAACCTGTACCGAGTCTTCTTGGTTCTTTCGGTAAAGTCACCACGTAGAATTTAAATAAAATAATACCAATAAAACATAATAAAATAAAAAATATTTTTTATTTTGTTATGTTTTATTTGTATTATTTTATTTCAATTCTACGTGACTTTACCGAAAGAACCAAGAAGACTCGGTACAGGTTTCTTAAATCCCCCAAGAGGAGCTCTTTAGAGCCCTCCGTAGTGGAGACCTTTCTGCCAGCAATGGTGTGAGCGAGAAGTTGCAGGGCTGCATCTTTACCGAGTACAAGAGTGGAATTTCCATATGAGCAGAGAAATAATAATAACCTACATGTACTGTTGAATGATGTGGTGTGATGCTCTGTTGCAGGTAAGATAAAGCCCACCATGGCCTTCATGTCTGGAAAGCTCAAGATCAAGGGAGACATGGGCATGGCCCTCAAGCTCGAGAAACTTATGTCTCAGATGAAATCCAAACTGTAGGCACCAAACGTGCTTTGAGAGCCATCGGCTGTGCATAGAACCAGCGCTTTGTGGTTTCCGAAAGAGCTTCAGGAGGTAACATCGACCTGACACAGGGGCAGTTCAAATGATGCGGACGTAAAATTACATGGCACCTTATAATCTTAGACATGAAGGCCATCGTGTCTGTCGACTCCTGAGTTTGTCATTGTAAGCGTTATTTTACTTGTCACTTGTTTGACAAAGGAATACCAGCTCCTGGCAGTGCTGTGTTGATGGAAAGTGGTATTGCTTGGCAGTTTATGCCTGTGGTGAGCATCGGAATTGCGTGCTTAGTCTGTTTAGCCTGCCTTGTGTGGCCTCCGGCCACCCGCTCTATTGCGTGCGGCTGTCCCAGGTGCATGGATCATTGTTAATTATCACCCCGTTCTACATGCTCCACATATCAATCAGCCGTGCCTTACTGCAACCACGACGTTAGTCTGTTATAGCCGATGTGCTGCTCCTGCTAGCGCGGAACGTGTCTACACATTTTTCCCTATTTGTAATTCGTTGTCAGCTCGGTTATAATCACGACACACGCTCACATCAATTCACTGCATTAAAATGAATTTAGCTTTTAGCAATGTGTCCTTTTGTGCTCACGTACATTTTAAGACTTGCAGCCCATGTGAAAAACGCATTGGGTTTGATGAATAACGTGAATTGTGCTGCAAATGTATAACGATGGGTTTGGGTGAATATTGATGTCGTTTGGCTGCTGGGTGAGAAAATGCAAATATAAACAACACCAAGCAGAATGTCGAATGTTATACAACAACAAAAAATGGTTGTTGGTGAATGTATTCAGCGGGGACTGAAACACATTGATTTTTATTACGTTATGTAGTAGCAATTACTGTGGAAGTACTGCGTCTAATAAAACACCTAAACCCCAGTTGAGCCTGCGTGGTTGATCCATGCGTCTTGCGCAGCGAGAGCACACAGCTTGCTCTGCTGCCGCCACGTCTACAGATATACTTCGCAGGAGCGAACAAAATAGGATAATACGCGACTGCCTCGCCAACGCTGAACGCAAGCACAAATTACAAGATGCTCCGTCGTTGAGCGTGCGGCCGCCTTGCGTAGTCTCGAGCTATTTTGAGAAGACCGCGCATCACAGTCCCGCACCGACAACGCCCGGCAAACACTAACGATGATCACCCATCCAAATACTCGCCGGGCTCCATTCGACTTGGCTTGCAAGGTCCAATGCGGTTGTGCTGTCGTCCACGCTGGATGGGTCAGAGGCACAACCGTTCGGTGAAACGTGGAACTCCTGTTATCTTGAAACAAGAAATAGTTGGCCACTGTTCTCTTTAGCTGTACTCTACATCCATAATATAAGTTTTTTGGATGAGATCGCGTAAATATATAAATGTGTCGTTAAACCCGCCACCACCCGACACAGCCAATTAGTAAGGTTTGTCACGTAAACAGAACATGCCAAATGTATAACGGTGGGTTTGGGTGAATAGTAAATGTTGTGGATTTGCTCTCCAACACACCGGTGTGCTGTACTATTAACGAATTGGCACGTTCTGTTTACGTGACAAACCTTACTAATTTGCTGTCGGGTGGTGGTTGGTATAACGACACATTAAATATATTTATGTGATCTAACCCCAAAAAACCTGTATTATGGATGATATTGGTCGCGAAATCCCACGTGTTAAACTGTACTCTACATGATTAAGTCTCCACCAAATCATGTTTGTTTACTATATCTTGACCGCATTATGTCGCGGACTTGAGGAAGGAAACCATAAATGAATATAGCTTATTCACGTCGTTTATTAATGTAGCTTATTTGGGAGTGATTTTATCATGCAGTCTGTTTAACAGCTGGTGCTTAAAACTGGGGAGGGAAACTTCGCTGGAATTATGTAATTACTCTGAAAACAAGGCAGTCTGCAAATTGCAGTAATGAGGCAAGTTTATGTATTGGTAGCGATGCTCGTTACGTGCGCCTAACGGGGAAGTGTGGTGGTTCTCTCTTGTCACTGACAACGCATCAAAAATAACGAGGAATGAGAGCAGTTTGAGATTCATTGATGAACAGCAACGGGGCACCTCTCTTGCGTTCGACGTCCGCCGCTCCGCTCGTGACATCGCGAGGGTGACTGACGCCACTGGCAATCACATCGGGGCTTTCTTGCGGCGCTGCCAAGAGATTTATCAAGCAAATACGCAATACCTCCTCTGAGGTGATGACTGCATCTAAGCATGAAAAATAAAATCTCTAGATGCCTCAACGTGAATTCGGAGTTGTTTAGCTGGTAATTTATTTTAAGTGGGCCGCTGAGAGGATGTGTGGACAACACCGGCTATAATCATATCCGCAGCTGGCTACAGCCACAAACATTCACCACCCACCTCTCCCTGCTACATTATCTCACTTCTTGGTGAAATGTCGATGTTTATTTCTTTAAAGTACTGCCTTTATCACGTGCAGCGGACAAGGAAGCCCTGGAGAGAATGTGCAGATAGACTGAAGGCTACAGGGTCGGATCGAGGAACAATGTGGGCATTGATAATAGTGACTGATGGTGAGGATGGTGACTGATGGTGAGGATGGTGACTGATGGTGACTGACTGATGGTGACTGATGGTGAAGATGGTGACTGATGGTGACTGATGGTGACTGATGGTGAGGATGGTGACTGATGATGACTGATGGTGATTGATGGTGATTGATGGTGAGGATGGTGACTGATGGTGAGGATGGTGACTGATGGTGACTGATGGTGAGGATAGTGACTGATTGTGAGGTTGGTGACCGATGGTGACTGATGGTGAGGATGGTGACTGATGGTGAGGATGGTGACAGGGTGACTGATGGTGAGGATGGTGACTGATGGTGAGGATTGTGACTGATGGTGAGGATGGTGAGGATGGTGACTGGTGACTGATGGTGACTGATGGTGAGGATGGTGACAGGGTGACTGATGGTGAAGATGGTGACTGATGGTGACTGATGGTGCGGATGGTGACTGATGGTGAGGATGGTGACTGATGGTGACTGATGGTGAGGATGGTGACAGGGTGACTAATGGTGAGGATGGTGACTGATGGTGAGGATGGTGACTGATGGTGACTGATGGTGAGGATGGTGACTGATGGTGACTGATGGTGAGGATGGTGACTGATGGTGAGGATGGTGACTGATGGTGAGGATGGTGACTGATGGTGACTGATGGTGAGGATGGTGAGGATGGTGACTGGTGACTGATAGTGACTGATGGTGAGGATGGTGACAGGGTGACTGATGGTGAGGATGGTGACTGATGGTGAGGATAGTGAGGATGGTGACTGATGGTGAGGATAGTGAGGATGGTGACCGATGGTGACTGATGGTGACTGGATGTTGAGGGTGGTGAGGATGGTGACTGATGGTGAGGATAGTGAAGATGGTGACTGATGGTGAGGATGGTGAGGATGGTGAGGATGGTGACTGATGGTGAGGATAGTGAGGATGGTGACCGATGGTGACTGGATGTTGAGGGTGGTGAGGGACCCACAGGGTACACAGAGAAGGCATCGCCCTTTGAGTCGTGAACCCGAGAGACGTGCCTGGTGCTGTATTTGACGTTTCAAGCGGTCTGTGGATGTCCACGTCCATTCATTGTTTATCTACAAGTGTTACATTGTTTGCTACATTTCCAATTTTAAATCTAACGTTGACTCGAGGTGTGTGTCGGAGTTTGGCCTGCGGGGAGCTCGAGTGTCGTCTTTAGAGTCGCACTGCGCACGAACACAGCGACCCGGGCTCGATTGCAGCTCGCGGCCAACACCAGTGACGATTATCTGAACCTGTCCTGGGCCTCCCCTCGGCCGACTCAGCCTCAAATGAGTACTTGGTGGGATGTGTAAACATCGCCACTGGGGAGACAAAGGCGGTCGAGCGCAGTGCTGGCAACTCACCCCTCGCGTACCGCGCCGATCTTCATAGATGCTCGCTAACAGCGCTTGCCCCAACAGTCTGTCTGTGTTGGGCCCTCTGTGAGCGCCAGCTGTGGCCAGACTCGGGAGCTCCGTCGGCGTCCCGAGCCCCGAGTCCCGGCGGGGTTGAGCCCTGAGTGGGGGCAGACTGTGGTGGCTGTGGTGGCTCGAGACTCCGAGTCGCCACGTGCTCATTAGTGCTTCTGTGCTCAACGTGACCCGCACGAATGTGCATCGTTCCTTTGCAGTGATGATCATTATCGTGGAATCTCTCGTGCGGTTTGCATTCGGCGTGGCCGTGCGTTATTACAGGGGTCAATCAAGGGTCCAAGATAGCAGCAAGGGTGCCCTATCGCAGCCAGTCGTGAACGCTGTGGCTCCACACTGTGACTCCAGCAGAGGGTGAGCAGCATGGAAGGAAGAGTTTTGTTATTCTCCTGTTAGCAGCGTCAAGACATCAATCACAACCACTGGCGTGGGGGGGGGGGAGATTTCGTTTTGCGTGGCGCCCGAGTCGTCCCCGCTAGGCGCACCTGCAGGGAGCGCGCGAGAGAAGGAGACGGGGGGGGGGTGGCGGCAGGACGCAGGCGCCTCTGTGCTGGCAGGCCGGGCGACTGCAGAGAATGCCGAGTTGGTGTGGCATTTACTCGACATTCGCTGTGTAAATGGCTCGGCACAAAAGTGAAACATAATTAAAATCACACTTTGTCCCCCCAGAAGAGTAGAGCGGCGAGTAAAGCGGCGTGCCCAGCGAGTGACGAAATTTCGCATCGAGAGAGAAGTTCACGTGGCCAGGGTGGTGGTGGTGGCGGTGGTGGTCGTGGCAGACAGAGGCGCGCCGTGCAGCCGCTCTGCTCCCACGAGCCAACCGGGTCGCGTTGATTTTCTGCTACACTTTCAGTTTCATTTATTAGGTGTAGCCCTGTGAGCCATGCGGCTCTTGACTCGGGTGCAACCGGAACAAACAAAAACATGAACAAAGAACATCTTAAAGTGACGACGCGCAACAGAAAAATCCAGGAAAAAACAGGAAAAGTATACAGTGAGGGAAAAAAAGTATTTGATCCCCTGCTGATTATGTACGTTTGCCCACTGACAAAGAAATGATCAGTCTATCATTTTAATGGTAGGTTTATTTGAATAACAATAAAATCCAGAAAAACGCATGCCAAAAATGTTATAAATTGATTTGAATTTTAATGAGGGAAATAATTATTTGACCCCCTCTCAATCAGAAAGATTTCTGGCTCTCAGGTGTCTTTTATACAGGTAACGAGCTGAGATTAGGAGCACACTCTTAAAGGGAGTGCTCCTAATCTCAGCTTGTTACCTGTATAAAAGACACCTGTCCACAGAAGCAATCAATTCGATTCCAAATTCTCCACCATGGCCAAGACCAAAGAGCTCTCCAAGGATGTCAGGGACAAGATTGTAGACCTACATAAGGCTGGAATGGGCTACAAGACAACACAAGCGATCTTCATCAGGTGTCAACAACAAATCATGGAGGTAAATACAACAAGAAGATGAGAGAATTCATACGTGACTTTACCTAAAAAACCAATGAGTAATTTTATGCAGTCACGAAAGCTTTAATTCTTTATTAACACACTTCTACGGGTAAGTTACCGTTGCAATTCTGTCCAAAATGTGCACCCCAAGCCTGTTCCCACCCCTCCCCCTTCTGTTGATGTGTAGGTGGTGCTTATTTGGTGCTTATTTCAGCTGCCGCACTCTCTTTCAAGCCTGCTTATACCCCTCCCCCCCGCTCCTGTGTATGTGCAAGATGTGCTTGTTTCAGCTGCCGCGCTCTCTCTGGCCCCTCCCCCCAACCTTTTTTCCTATTTAAGGCTTCTGTTCATCCCTCCAGCCCCCCTCTCTCTCTCCTTGCTTCCCTGTCCGTCTTTCCTCCCCCCTTGCCTCTTGTGAGCCTTTATATGTATTTCTACTGACTGT